ATTTTGTAAATATATGTTTTCATTCAGTTATTACATTGATCGACATATTATATTATGGTATTAACATTTGATCGACGTATTTTATTTGATCTTTTATTATCTGTATATTTTACACTCTCTTATACTCACGATGGATCTTTTTTAAATAATGACGTCACGCCTGGAACTTTTAACCAATAAATAAACGGGGCGGGGCGAAAAACACGTCACCGAAGACGTGGTCACGTGATGACGTGTGTGCCAGTCAGCTGACCGCTGAGTTCCGGGTTGTGTGTCTGTGTCTGCGGTGATTCTCAGGTAAACATTCACATCCGTTCACATTCATGCACTTTGATGACATCATCGATAAATATAAGCACAGTAACTAAACACAGTCCGCGTGCACCGTGTCGGAGCGCGTTCACGTCGAGCTGACGGTTGGACGAGCCGTCAGTGTGTTGAAGGGGCGGAGCTAAGTTCGACTGTTCTCTCCGAACATCTTAAAGTTGAGATCAACTGAGCCAGCGCGATGCATGACGGTCTATATTGGCTGGTTAGTGACCACAGGCTGTACACTACTTTTCACGATGCATTGTGGGAAACCGAGGCCACTGTGTTGTTAATGATAACCAGTTCTAATTTGTAACTGTGTCTAATCACAAAAAGCTTCGCCCCCTGGTGGCTGGCTGCGGTACAAGGTCAGAGAGAAATCACCTTTGCTGTTCCTCGTTCGTAGTATTTTCTGTAACTAAGCAACCAACTACAGGGTAGACAACCGACTTCCTGTTTACACCACATGACCAGTGTGTGCAGATGGTCATACAACACGTGTTCTCGGGTGTGTCCGTGTGGGCGGACTCTAACTGCTGGTTGTTGATTTGCAGCCGGTGCCATGAACGCCTCAGACAGTGATGAGGACTTGTACAACGAGAGGACGGCGTTGGTCCCTTCAGAGAATCCAGTGGTGTCGTCGTACCAACCAGATCCAGACGTCCGCCCCTCAGAGGATGCGCCCACCAACAGGGTAAAGGTCACGTTTTGGTTCTGTATCCGCTTACGCTTCGTGACTAAGAACTGACCTGAAAGATTCTTGTTGTTCTTCCTGCTGCTCTGATGCTGAATGTCGCCCTCTGTTGGTGCAGCCCGGGGTCTGCAGGCGGGCGGGTCCAGCGGCCGTGGAAGGCTGTGGTGATGGGGGAGGCTCAGATCAGGAGGTGGACGCAGACGACGAGGAGCTGACTCTGAAGTACGGCGCCAAGCACGTCATCATGCTGTTCATCCCCGTCACCCTCTGCATGGTGGTGGTGGTCGCTACCATCAAGTCGGTCAGCTTCTACACAGAGAAGACGGACCAGCAGCTGTAGGTCCACGACTCAACTGGCACCTGCAGGACGCTGCTGCTGCTCACAGCTAACCGTGATGTTTGTCCCCGCAGGATCTACACGCCCTTCACAGAGAACACCGCGTCTGTCGGCCGCCGGCTCCTCAATTCCGTTCTCAACACCATCATCATGATCAGCGTGATCGTGGTCATGACCATTTTCCTGGTCGTTCTCTACAAGTATCGCTGCTACAAGGTCAGAAAGCCGGCAAGTCGAGGCGTCAGTGTCACTGACAGACGCCATTTTGTTTGGTCCTGGTTGTTCTGGTTGTTTCCTGAACGTTAATGTAACTGTGATCTGTTCAGTTCATCCATGGCTGGCTCATCCTCTCCTCCCTCATGCTGCTCTTCTGGTTCAGCTTCATGTACCTCGGGTCAGTTTCACTCATAACGTTCTTCACACCTCAGTCAGTGAACGCAGAGCGTGCTCAGCTGAAACATGAAAACACCTGTTTTTTTCAGTGAAGTGTTTAAGACGTACAACTTGGCAGTGGACTACCCGACGGTGGGAGTGATCATCTGGAACTTCGGGGCCGTGGGGATGATCTGCATCCACTGGAAGGGGCCGCTCCCGCTGCAGCAGGCCTACCTCATCCTGATCAGCGCCCTTATGGCCCTCGTCTTCATCAAATACCTGCCGGAGTGGTCGGCCTGGGTCATCCTGGGAGCCATCTCTGTCTACGGTGGGTCCCTGAGCGTCTCTGAGACTGTTTGATCAGTAGGTTTTCTTCATCATCAAATAACCTTCAACAGTTGGTGTTGGTAAAAGCGGCTGTGTTCGAATATAAATTATTATTCATGTTAGTATTAAAACATCCTGGGCGTGTCCAAATCCAGGGGCCGCCTCCTTCACAAGCCATGTAGACCGTGATGGCCGAACTGAAATGTGACGCTCTGGTCCACAGGATTTCTGTGTGTCACCAACTTACCGCTGTTTAAACGTGTAAACTCTTGTTGTTGGCACCGTCATGTCCTCTTTGAAAAAAACTGAGGTGCAATGAATCCTGGGAAATGTTGTCTCCTCTGGTAGTTTCTGTAGAAAACGTCTC